GGCTTTGAACCAAGATCCTTAGATCTCAGCCTCCTAAATAGCTAGGATTACAAGCATGAGCCACTGACACCCAGCCACCTCTAGTCTTTAGGTAGTCCTTCCTAGGATACAAATTTTAGCTAAAAGTGCTTCAGCAGCCTATATTGCTGTGACAAAATACTTGGAATAAATAACTTAAAAGGTTAAAAATTTGGTTGTGGCAGCAAATGGATTTGGGCGCTCTTGTTAATGTCCATGCCAGCTGGGGGGGATGGTGCTCTAGAACAGGGTCTTGCTTATAGGGGGCTGGACGGGACTTGGAGTCTGCTGCAGCATTGGGGAACCAGTTTGGGGAGAAACTTTGACTCCGGAAATCACTAGTGGAGGTGATAGATGAGCACCAAATATTAGTAAGACATCTGCAAAAAGAGGCCTAAGCACAACACAATCATTCAGAATTCACAGAACAACGAAAGAAAACCACAGGCAGAATCACAACCTGCTTGGAATTGGCAAGTGCAGCCTTCTAGTCCATTCAGTCCCAGGAAAAATTTAAACTGGAGGACTTGAAGACTCTGGAACCAATACTAAAGAATATTCTTACCTGTAGTAAGAAATTCCCATGTGACGTTCAGCCTGTACCATTAAGAAGAATTTTAGCTCTGGGTGAAGAAGAGAATTGGGAATTTGAAGATGGAGAAAGTGGTAGCGGAGCAGGGTGTCCTGATCCTTTTCCTGCTCAAGTTCCTGATACTTTGTTACCCAGATTGCCATCAGAACCAGAATTGAGAAAATTGGTCTGAAAGATGCTGGACAGTGCATTGATCCCTATATTACAGTTAGCACAAAAGATTGGGATAGCATAGATTTAACTCCTGTGCAAGATATCCATTTGGCTTCAAGAAACCATCTATGCCCATTTTAGTGTGGATACTGAGCTCCAGAAGCATGTTGAAACAATAACCAAAGGTACAGCTATCTTCTTTGAAATTTAACACTACAAGCCTACAAAAGGTTTGCCAGCACCAAGTGTTTTGCTTTCATGGTGATGGATGAAATAAAACCTGGACCAACTGTGATAGAATTGTACATGAAACCTATGGACTTTTAAAGGAAATTGTAACTAGTGGCCAAGAAACCAGTTTATCTTCATTTACCTTAAACATTACACAAGGAATGATCCTGGTATGAATAACCTGGAACATCTGTGGATTTTTGCCAGTCAGTAGACACCATCATAGCTCTGTGTAGCATATTCCCCCTCAACAGGCAGGATGTGAGCCATGCCCAAGGGAGCCCATTGCAAAGCTGTACCATAGAACTAAAAAAATCCAGCATATTACTGGCATATCAGATGCCTTTGGATGCAGGTTTAGTGTAGACTTTGAAATGTGATTTTGCTTTTCTAATAGTCTATTTTCTAATTACCACTGTGCCTAGTCTGCTACCGGGAACAATACTGTTGTGGTAGATGTGCTCATCTTCCAAACTTAACACAGCAATAAGAATATGCTAAGAGTTTATACATTTGTTCCCTTTTTATCCCATTTGCTCTTTTGGTTTAACTTCAGATTCGGGGTTTAGGTGGGTAGGACAGTACCATGCTACTTTGAGAAGAAGTGGACCAGTTATGCTGCCTGGAAAGGTTGGTCTGGAAGTTTATAGGCTGTTTAAATGTGGCCTAACTTTAACCTTGATCAGACAATTCTGACTGAACCTGTATGTCTTGGCCAGATAAGTATCCTATATGGGAGTGTTTCTGTTTTTAGCCATTTTTTCTTTTTCTTTTTCTTTTCCTGGATGACCAGATTGTTTCTCTAAAAGTGAGCATATTTGTAGTCATGCTGATTAACTATTCTTCTCCATCACATTATTTTTTACCTGATAGATTATAGGGTTAACATTGGAACCATCTCAGAGCAATCATACACTTTTAGATGGATTTACAATGTCCAGTAAATAATATAAACTAAATATACAATCAGATGTTAATGAGATACTGCAGGAACAACTGATTTTTTCCTGGCAGTTGATCATAAAATCTTAAATCCTACATACCTCTCCTTAGAACGATAGGTATGCAAAATTGGAAAAGCCAGTCTATTTTTTTAAAATATAGGTAGGATTGCCATTTAGTTCCTATTTAGATACACTGACATCCATCCATATGGAAATGTGCAGCTTATTACTGTTGATTATTTACTTTTGGCTTAATGATGCATATAATTTTCATAGTACACATGAGGTGGATATTTGATACACAGAACATTAAATTTGTGATCTGGGGGTTAATATGGAATCTACATATTTTAATACCTTTAAATGAACAGTGCATGAGGGGAATGCAGTGTCAGTATGTGGACTATTTTTGATCTAGTGGAATAACCCAAGTCAATATGTTAGCTTTTAAAAATAAGTGATCACAGTTGTTTTAACCCTTGCACTTCAAGAGAGCTAGTCTCTATTTTCAATTGTCTGTTAGGTCAATTATTTGCTAGATTAATGTTAATAAAGTTATATGAGCCTGAAAAAAATCTCAAAGAAAGGAAGGAAGGTGTATTTTGGCTATGGTTCTGGAGTCTATGGTCACGGCCTTGTTGCCTTTGGGAACAGTTCATCATTGTGGAAGCACGTGGGAGAGGCACGCTGCTCACATCATGGCAGCCAGGAAGCAGAGGGAGGGATGGGTGGGGAAGGGAGGTAGAGAGAAGGGGCAGGGGGAGGGAGAGTGTATGCAGTCTCCAATACATTGGTTAAGAGCATATTCCAAATGACTTGCTTCCTTCAGTTAGGAAGTTTCCACTACCTCCCAACAGCACACTCAGGCTTAGTCCTTTAACACACGAGCCTTTGGGGGACATTTCGTATTCAAACTATAACATTCTGCTCCTAGCCCCCACAGGCTTATGGTCATGTCATAATGCGAAATCTCCCAAGAGTCCCCAAAGTCTTTACTCTATCATTGCCCCAAAATCTAGTCCAATGTGTCCTCTGTGACTCAGAGAGAACTCTTGAGTTGTGAGTGCCTATAAAAATATCAAAACTTATATGCTTCCAACACACAATGACACTGGGTTAAAAAAACAAAAACCCAACCACTCCAAAAGGGAATAATAGAGACATAGAAAGGATCAGACTAAAGCAGGCCCAAAATTCAGCAGGGAAATCCTGCCACTTGATGCTCAGTGATGGGGAACATGGTGGTATCATGTGGGCTCTAAAGGATTCAGTAAGTCCTGGCTGTGAGGTCTTGCCGGCTGTAGCCCATGTATCTTCTCAGGTAGGCTTTGCTGGCTGCTGGCAGATTTCCTCAGCAAGCATTCTATATTTCTGGACATCTCCAACTTTCTAGGGTCTTCATTGTGCTTTTGGCTTCACCCTTACCACTTTCACACATCACCCTCTCTATGGCAGCGTGCAGGGTCTCCAACTTGGCTTCCCAGGCTTCCTTTGAAATATCAGCAGAAGCCTCTATGAGCCAATACATCTTGCACTCAACCTGTCTGCAATATGAGCATCATATGGATGATACCAATATCTGCCATAATATTGAACTGTAGCTGGGCATGTCGGGTCATGCCTGTAGCAACTTCTCAGTGCATGGACTGCTGAGTGCAGGGAAATGAATCCTGAGAAACAATTCTCTAGGTGATTTTTATGAGCAGAGTAACCCAGTGTTTTCTCCTTATTCAAAAGTCTATAAAGCTGTGATAGATGAGGCCTGCACAATTCCTGTGATGCCATCTTTGTTATCTTTTATCTATTAGGCAAAACACATGGCTTCTTTTTAATAGTGCCCCTCTCTTTAAAGCCACACCCTCCATAGCAGTGATTTCACATATGGCAAAACCGCAATTCTTTGTGTGACTTTGGTGTTCCTGATTCTCACCATAAATCTAGCTAACAGCAGTCAATAATACCCATGCCACCTGCTTGAAATTTCTTCCACAGCACAAACAAGTCTGAGGTTTAAGGGAGACAGAAACTAGCCAAGTTCCTTGCTAGAATGTAGTCAGAACAGCCTTTAGTCCAATTCCCAACCTTGTCCTTGGTGACATCTGAAACTTCCAGAGTCTTTACTATCTACATTCCTATTAACACTACTTTTAGAACCCACCAGAACCCACCAAGCTCCATTTACAGCATTCTAGATTTTTTCTAGTCTTCTCTCTCCAAACTTCTCCTGCAAAGTAATTCCAGTGACATCAGCAACAACTGAAGTTCTCAGTACCAAGTTTCCTTGTTAGTCCTTGTTCTGTTGCTGTACAAAGTACCCAGGAAAAACAAGAGATAAGAATTACTGTGTCTCAGTGATTACAGAGCTTTTAGTCTATGGTCATTTGGCCCTGTCACTTTGGGCCTGTCATGAAGCCAGATGTGGTGTAGAGTGAGTGGTGTAGCAAAGCACCTTGAGTCATGGTGGCCAGGAAGAGGAAAAGAGGAGGAGCAGACAGAGGTTCCAATGCCCTCCAAGGACATGTCCAGAAGGACTTCACTTCTTCCCACTAGGCCCACTTCCTGAAAGTTCTACCACCTTCCACCATCAGTGGAGGACCAAGTTTTCAACACATGGACTTTGTGTGTGTGTGTGGGGGGGAGTGAGGGGGCATTTAAGATCCAAACCTTAACATTTCTCATTCCTCCTCTTCAACTGCTGAAAACCATTAGACTATTTCTCATCTTTATGGATTTGCCCACTTTGGGCATTTCATGTAAATTCAATAATAACACACTTTTAGTCTTTTGTGACTGGCTCCTTTCACTCAGCATGCTTTTTAGGTTCATCCATGTTGTAGTGTGCACCAAAGTTCCTTTTGTAGCTGGACACTAGTGCCTCATGCCTGCAATCCTACCTACCTGGAAGGCTGAGATTGGAGAACTGAGAGGGTCCAGGTCAGCCTGGACAGAAAAGTCAAAGACATTCCATTTCAATGGAATAAGCCCAGTACTGTGAGGCCAGGCCTGTCATTTCTAACTATAGAGGGAAATTTAAAATAGGAGGACCATGGTTCACACCAGTCTGGGGAAAGAAGCAAGACCCTTTATTTAAAATAACCAGTGTAAAGAAGGGCTGGAGTCTGGCTTAACGCTTGAGTTCGAATCCTATTTTAGGAACATTGCACAGAGAAACCATAATTTGCTAATCTATTCATGAATCAATGGGCACTGCCTTGGTTCTCTCCCCAACCCCTTTTCCTTGTGAATATGCTGCTGTGTACATCTGCCTACAAGGTCTTGTGTAGCCATTCTCTTGGACACACATCACGGAGAAATGCTGGGTCTGTGTTGGTGGTCATCCAGGGGGCCGGTGCCGAGGATGGAGAGAGGACGGAGAGGAGAGCGGTGCTGCAAGAGAGCAGGGTTACTTTCTTTAGCATCACTCAGTCGTTACAATGCGCGACCCCAGCTCGGCCTCACGCACAGCGGGCCTTCTCCACACACTGGCCGCTTTCGGGCCAGGGAGCGGGTGCAGCGAGCGGAGAGCGCAGCCCAGACCCGTGCAACCGGCTCCCCGCTGGCGAGGTCTCTCCCGGTGAGAGCCTGACCGATTCCAGGCTGGTGTCTTCCCGCAGATGGATCACCTGTGAATAAGGTCCATTCGCCGCGGAGTGAGTGAGCCTGACTCCGGGCTTCTCAGGACATCCAGGGCTCGGAGCCGAGCCGTCGCGGGTGACGGACGAAGCTCGGGTAGGTACCAGCAACCCGCAACCACCAAGGCCCGCGCTCTAACTGCTGCCCTCCGAGCCACCGCGCACGCGCTGCTACCCGGCCAAGGAAGGGGCGGAGAGTGGGTGGGGCGCGTGTCTCCTGGACCAATCGGAGACGAGAACCCCCGCCCTCCTTGCCGATGGACCGAACTTGACCCCGGCGGTGGGTGGAGTAGGCGGGGCCAGACGCGCGGTCGCGGAGGGGGCGGGGCCAGAGGTCTGGAGGCGGGGCCTGGAGCTGTCAGTCCGAGCCAGTTGCCGCCGCTGCCGCGGTTCCTTGCACCTCGTGGCCCGGGTGGCCGCCGGCGATACGGTCCATCACTAGCCTCCGGGCATCCCGAGCCGCTTCTCGTGTCGAGGCCTGGCGCGCAGGTAAGGCTAGCTGCGGCTGTCGAGCCATCGCGTCTCCTTCCTCGGGATCTGTCCGTCGCGCGGGCGCCCCCTCCGGGCTGTGTCATCGCCTTGGCTCCCCTCGCCTCCTAGGGGCGGTCCCGGGGGGCGGGACCACAGCCCTCCCTCTGGTCCCCCCCTCCCGGGCTCCCCACTTTCTTAACCGCTCCGTCTGCCTCCAGGATCCCTGGCCGACCTGGCGTCCCCACCGGCGTGGGGATCTGATTCGGCGCAGCCCCTCCCGGGCCGATTACACAATCTGAGGCACTGAGGGCGGGGGTCCCCATCCAGCCCCACACCTGTCCTCCTGCCGCGCGTCCAGGCGGGGACCCAGATCAGGTGCCGCCGCGGGGGCCGGGAAAGTTTCACTTTGTGACCTGGGTTTGTTGACATCCTGGAGATGCGGGGAGACGGTGGGGGCCGAGCCTCGGAGGAGCATGCGTCCCTCCAGCAGTGTTGGCTTTGCCCTGGGGTGGTTCAGGTCCAGGTTTCGCTGACGTTTGTCCTGCAGAGAGCCTTGATCTGGGGCTGGAGGGTGCCCGGGTCACTGGGCTTCGAGGCTAGCAACCCCCGGATTGCAGCAATCTGGGGGACAGACAGCCCAGGCTGTCTTCTTCCCTGTCTTAATTTAGCATTGTCATTTAGACCAGGTAGGCGAATTTACTTAGCATTTTTCCTGACACTTTATGTTTGTGAGATGCTTTGCCGTCCCTGATTAGTTAATTAATCAACAAGGTGGGAAAGCAAAATAGATAATTTGAAACGTGTGGCTCATGATGTTCAGCAACTCTTTAAGAACTGAGGGCAGAAGGCTCTGTGGTAAGAGATGCATTGGCCAAGGTGCTGTGAGGACAGCTATTTGGTATCTGATGGTTGCTTGAGTGGACTTAGGTATTACTGGCAAAGCCTTTTTTTTTTTGCTTTGGTTTAATTAGGTTGTTTGGTGAGGGTCTTCCATTTAGTGCAGTTTTCTTTTTTTCACTTAGGCATAGGCATGAGTGCTTTACTGAGTGCTTTGCTGATGAAGCAGTTAAGGTAAACAATTGAAGCCTAAATAAGTTTGGATGCTTGTCTGCTCTACCAGGTTACCCTAATTGTGCAGAAAACCTTGGCTGTCTGTTTCTCCTTATCTTCCCACTAGAATTGTATGGAACTAAGTAGGCATTACTCTTTCCTCATTTAGTCTGAAGACCTACCTCTTGCTACCTATGGTTTTTGGACATGCCTAGGGACAGCCTCCAAGTGGTTTATAATGACATTTTCATCTATCTGTTACACAATACAGCTTAAAATCTTTGTAGTTAGGTGCTGTCGTCTTGTTGAATCTTTAATAATATCTACTTCATTTTAATAGTGCTTCTATAATAATCTTTCTATTAGTATGCCAGTTCTGTAACACCAGTACTTTTAGTATATAAGCAGTGATTTACTAGAAATATTATCAGGGCAAAAACAATTATCTAACAGATTTGCAGCACACTTTACTTAGGTAATTACTGCCAGAGGCTTAAAAAAATTCTTTGGTGTAGTGGGTATTACAATGGGTTTGATCTATGAGGCCTTTATGAGGGCTTTTCTCCTGCACTATTACAATGGTTTCAGTGAGTAGGTCACTTCAGTATTTTGCAGTGATATCATATGAGTTGATACATCATACTCGTTTTTTTTCTTGGATAACATTCCAAATTCACAATCTACGGTTTTGATTTGGCAGCCTACATTTTACAAAGGAAGGTATTTGTTATATATAGGGAGTTATATTAGAATTACAAAGGTGATTGCAGTATATTTCATTAGTAAATGTACCAGGCCCTGTTCTGAGTGATTTACAGATACTATTTTCAGAACTCACCTATAAGAAGGAACTATTTTCACACCAGGTTTTAGGCAGGGAGGTAGAGGCCCAGTGGCTTAATAACAAATGGCAGCCAGACTTTTACATAGATAGCTTGAGTCCAGAATCCAAGTCCTTAACCAGTATGAGGTGCTAAATTTGTAGATTGTTCTTTTGGTAAGTATTTATTTTTACCTGATGTTCCCTCAGTGTTAGGTTTTGCTCCATGGGGAAGAGAAGAATGTTTTCCAATCCATACCAAGTATCCAGTTAGGAGTTCTCATTGTGATCTTATTTTTATTTATTTCTTTTATTGCAGTACTGGAGTTTGAACTCGGGGCTTCATGCTTGCTTGGCTGAGGTTCTGTCACTTGAGCCATGCCTCCCAGACTTGTTTGGGCTAGTTGTTTTGGATATGGAATCTAGTGAACTTTTCTTCCTGGGCTGGCCTTGTATCTTGATCCTCTAGATCTCAGCATCCTGAGTGGCTAGAATTACAGGTGACATATGTGATTTTGATGAAGAAATCTTTTTCCTTTCCATTTCCTTTCTGATGGGATGACAGTCATTAAAGCAGATGAACTACCTAGCCTTACCATCCTTAGGATCTGGAGAGGTAAGAAAGTGTATATGAGAATTAAATAACCTGCTAAGGCATGAAATAAGATGACATATGAAATATGCTCTGTGTGTGTGTGTGCGTGTGTGTGTGTGCATGTGTGTATGTGTCCAGGAAAGTGAGCAGGAAGCTGTATACTCTTTCTACTAGTAACTACACAGAGGAATTGCAGTTGTTGACAAACTTCATCTAATTTTATTGTATCAAATATTATTCTTGTAATTTTTTTTAAAAAAATGCTTAGCACTGGCAGTAGCTCACCCAGTGACTTGGGAGATAGAGATTTGTAGATTGTAGTTTCAGCCCATCCTGTACATAAAAGTTCATGAGTCTTCATCTTACTCAGTGTCTGGGTATGGTGGCCTTGAGCCTGTTATATCCAATGACAGAGGAAAGCTCAAGTAAGAGGATTGCAGTTCATGAGACCCTATCTCAAATAATGGGAAGCATGGCTCAAATGGTAGAACACTGGTCTAGCAGTGTGGTACATGAGTTCAATCCCTAGTACTGCCAAAAAAACTGAGAAAAGACATGAAAGAAGTGGGGTAGCCTGGCGCTGGTGACTCACGCCTGTAATCCTAGCTACTCAGGAGGCTGAGATCTGAGGATCACTGTTCAAAGCTAGCCTAGGCAGGAAAGTCCATGAGACTCTTATCTCCAGTAAACCACCAGAAAATGGGAAGTGGCGCAGTGGCTCAAGTGGTAGAGCACTAGTCTTGAGCGGAAGAGCTCAGGAACAGCACCCAGGCTCAGAGTTCAAGCCCCAGGACCACACAAAAAAGAAAAAAAAACAAGTGGGGTAATCACATTCAGTACCATATACAAAGCATGCATGTATGTATGTATGTATGTATGACATGGGGCTTGAACTCTGGGCCTGGGCGCTGTCACTGGGTTCTTTTGCACAAGACTAGCACTCTATCACTTTGTGCTACAGTGCCATCTCTGGTTTTTCTGGTAGTTAATTGGAGATAAGAGCCTCACAGACTTTCTTGCCTGTGCTGGCTTTGAACCATAATCCTCAGATCTCAGCTTTCTGAGTAGCTAGGATTACAGGTCTGAGCCACCAGTGCTGGTTTTCAGAGGCATTTGTAAGGGACTATTTTGCATAACTTGGCAAGAGGCTTAGGTTGGATGATAGCAAGGCCTTAACTAAAGACCAAGGAGTTACCAAAACCATGGCAACTCAAGTTAGACTTAGAAGAAAGTTTGTGTGGGTGTGTAGGGGGGTGAATCAAGGCCTATAATCCTAGCTACTCAGGAGGCTGAGTTTTGGAGAATCACAGTTCAAAGTAGAAGGAAGCGTTAATAGACTTTTAGTTTGCCCATTTCTCCCTCCAGTCCCTCCATCATCTGTCTAGTGGGTACCTGCCCCCACATTTGGACACCCATGCTCATCCTGCTCCTGCATGGACATCTCCAGGTGAACATCAGATCTACTTTCTACATCTGTGCATCGGAGTTGATAGGATTGTATTCAGTGGTAGGGAATGGGAAACAACAGAAAGGTTCTGGGCTATTCTGGCTGTCGTCTTAAAAGACCATCCATTATCAGTGTGAAATTGAGATTAGAGAGGAAATTCAAAGCCAGGGTGGCCAGTTAGGAGGCCTATGCCAGAATCTAGGAGGAGGTGATCCAAACTGAGACAGCCAGTGGCATGGGATGGGTTCAGAAGAAAGAACCATCCGCAACCAGTAACTGCCTGCCCAAACCATCAGAAGGTGGGCATTTCCTGGGGACCCTAGAGGATGGGAGCTTTGGTTGGAGCCGAGGAGTCCAGTTTAGATATATTTTGTAGGCATATTCCTCCAAGCTGTGGACTAGATCATGGTTAATGTAAGGCCTCTGTAGACCAGAATACAGATTGTCTTTCTTTTCCAAAAGGGAGTATGCCATTTAATAGAGTGGGTAACTCCCTCTGTCCAATAAAGAATAGCAGGATTCCTGTTCCTGGTTTAACTGCCTCTGGTTAACTCCTCTGGTTTAACGCTTTGTTGAGGGTCTCTATTGTGTTGGGAATTGAGAATTCATCTGAACTCAGAGGTACAGTGGAGGCCAGAGAAGTAGACTGTGAATCCAATGATCCTTCCCATCCCACATTTTGAAAGACAGAATTGGAAGTAGGTACCCTGGCCTTGGAGAAGTTTGGCTGTGAAAGGCTGTTA